CCCGAAGGAGCACTGGGCAGCACCTCTCTGGCCCACCCCTCCACCTTAGTCCCAACCATCCTCCCAACACCAGAAGCAGAGGTCACCCTGCCCTAGTCCCCACCCCCCACCTGCACCCTTGCCCAGGGCTGAAGTGCAAGGTAGGATTGGGGTCTGGGGTCCACACCCTCAGCCCCGCCCCTCCCATCGGCAGCTCACTGGGGAGCCCCCAGGGTGGGGGCAGTGCATACTTCAGTTGCTCCAAGGAGCTTAGAGGTCGGGTGCTGGAGTCCCCTGCTGGCCATGAGCCCCCTCACTCCATGGGGATGGGTCAGGAGGATTCTTCATTCATTCAACAAATATTTATGAGCCCCCACTGTGTTCCAGGTGCTGGGGCTCAGCAGAGCACATATGGGCCCTTCCGATGTTTATGGTTCCACTGAGAAGGGGACTGGGCTTTGTATCATGCGCCCCCCCCACCATCTTCCCAAGGACACTGCCCGTGCCCAGAAAACCGAGAGCTCCCTGTGGGCAGTAGCTGTGCCTCCCCCATGAGATTGGGGTTTCTCCAGGGCCTGGTTGTGACACCCCCATCAGACCACTGTTCCTGAGAAACCTCTCCCCTCACTTCTAGAGCCTCTCCGGATAGGGCTGTGCTGTGGTTCGTCCCGCTCGATCCCCATTCTAGCAGTGTTAAAGGGCGCGGAATTCAACTCTGGTATTTGAAATGCGGAGCCTTTGGGAGAGGAGAGGGCCGCGAGTGCTCTGCTGTCACTGATGGATCGGTCCATTCCTGGATTAACGGGCTAATGGCGAGTGGATGGCACTTGCGGCTTCATAAGGAGAAGCAGCAGAAAGTCAGGGCGCTCTTGCCCTGTCACCCTGTGACACCCTCCACTGCCTTGGGACTCCTGCAGAGTCCCCACCAACAAGGCCCTCACCAGATGTGCCCCTTGACTTTGGACTTCCCCACCTCCACAACCGTAAGAAATAAATTTTGTTTCTTTATAAACTACCCAGTTCCAAGTATTCTAAGTGACAGAAAACTAAGACAGCTTGCCAGATAAAATACAGGACGCCCAGTTAAATTTGAACTTCAGATAAACAAAGAATAACTTTTTAGTATAAGTATGTCCCAAATACTGCATGAGGTATACTTAAACTAAAAATTATTCCTTGTTTATCTGAAATTCAAATTTAACTGGGCACTGTGTATTTCTATTTGCTAAATCTGGCCACCCTACCCCTGGAGCTCATTCCTTCTGCTGGCACCTGGCCTGGCCAGATGGCCCAGGTTTTGCCTGGACTTGGCCCCTTCCTGCCCAGTTAAAGCTCCTGTCAGCCCCCAGGACTGGTGTCCTCCCCCTTGCCCCATCTGCAACCCTAGCTCCTAGGTGGACACCATACCCACCACCTGGCATGCCCAGCCCAGGCTATGGACCGTCAGGAATGCTGTGTCTGGTCTACTGCATCATAGGCCCAGAGAGAGGGACAGAGCCACCACTGCAGAGGGACCAAGACTGTCAGAGACACAAAGAGACAGAGACATTAAGAAAAGGGATGTAGAGACTGAGCAGATGGAGACAGAGGGGAGAAGCCAGGACAGAAAGAGACAGAGAATTTAAGGACCCCTGCCCTGAGCTGCTTCAGGAGACCAGTGCAGCAGGTGGAGGGTCCTAAAAGCCCACCAGGGTTTGCCTGAGTGGAGTGGGGCAGAGGGGAGGCTGGGTCCCTGAGCCCCAACATTGTGCCCCAAACTGGCAGTCCCTAGGAGGCAGCTCAGGGTCTCCAGCCCTGGCAGGCAGGAGTGGGAGCCCATTCAGAGCCCAGCCCCAGCCCCTGCCACCTTCCCCTAGCCCAGCCTCCCAGGGGCATACACAGGGACATTCATGGCTTCCCATAAGGGCCTATGGAGCAGCCAGAGAGGCTTTTAAAATTAGCCTCTCTAACCAGATCTGGTTATTTCAGGAGGCTCCATTCTGGGCTGTCCCCTTGGCAGGGCGGGAGCAGGGAAGGAGGGAGGAAGCTCCACATTCCAGGGTCCCTGGCTGAGCACCCCCTGTGGCCTGAGCAGCAGAGAACATCCAGGTCCCAGTCCTCTGGCACTGGGCCGGCCTGGGCCTGCGGCCGTCTTTTTGGCAAAGTTGCCCCAGGGTTCGCCATGCATGTCCAGGGACACCTCAGCTACATGGAGGAGGGGAGGACCCTTCGTATTGGGCATAAGTTCTGTGCCAGGCACCATGCATGGTACCTTAAAGACCATGACAGCATCTTCACAGCAATAGGTAGGGGTCTCCTCCTCTTTTCCAGGTGAGGAAGCTGAGACGGCGAGACAGGGAGGTCCCAGCTCTGAGGCAGGGGAGATGGGGGGTGTTGGGTTTGCCAGGCACCCAAGTCCCTCCATGGGAGGCTGCTTCCCTCCTGTGTCTGGAGAAACCTCTGGCTGCTGTTTCCACCACCAGAGCTATTTCTAAGCAGAGTCCAGCGCTTCCCGGAGCCTGGTGCCCCCCACCCAAGCCCTAATTCCAGCCTCGAGTCAGAGTGTCCCGGCTCGCCCTCCCCACCTCGGAATCCAGGGCGAGCACAGAGCTGGCACGGACACACGAGAAACAGTACTGGACACTTTGATCCCAGAGGCCAGATGCGTGCTCAGCCTCCCCTGGCCCCACCTCGGAGCCCAGAGGAGCAGGGCAGTGGGGCCCGGGTCTGGAACCCAGTGCAGAAGCCTTCTCCTCCCACAGATGGGGCCTGGCCCAACCTGGGCAGGGCGAGGGCCAAAGCGGGTTCCTCCTGCCCAGCTGCCCACCTGCTTCTGTGACCCCAGCTGCTGGACTTCAGCTACTGCATAGAGCCGTGGGGGGCGGTGTGCATCGTGGAGTGGAGCGACACAGGCTGGCACGCCTGGGCTCTGCTGTGAAAGGGTCGTCACCCCGGGAAAGCCTGGGAGGGGAAGCACTTGATAGTCGTCCACTCCCAAAGCCTCAGTCTGGACGTCCATGCCAGGTCTAGCCCCAGTTACGGTGTCCTACACGCTCTGAGCTGACCCCATGTCCTCTGAAGGTTTATTGGTATGAACCTTATTAGTGGCTAATCACCCCCCCCACCCGCACACACTGTTTTGGGCCCACCATGAGCTGAGGCCGCAGCAGGAACTTTATGAGGGGATGCCTCATCTAATCCTCACACTAGGGTACCAACAAGGTCGGGACTATTGGTATCCCTCCTGTACAGATGAGGAAACTGAGGCCCAGAGAGCCAAAATTATGTGCCAAGGTCACAGAGCTAGGAGGTGAACAAACTCAGAGCTGACGCCAAAGAAGCCCTTAACCTTGGTGCTGAACTGTTGCTGCTGGCCCTTTGGAGGTGGGTTGGGAGGGGACAGGGCAAAAGCCTGCGGCCGAGAGGACTGCAGAGCCTGGACCAGGAGAGGGCACGGGGTGGGGGGCGGGGAGGTTAGAGGATGGGGGAGGCTGGGAAGGGAAGTGGGGCAGGGTGAGCCGTGGGCCCACGGAGCCCAGGGCAACCTGGAACCAAACCCAGGTGGGTGGAGTTGGGGTTTGGGTGTGAGTCACGGCCCCTGGGTCTGGGTGGCCTGAGGCATCTAAGGGTCATAGAAGGGCCCTGTCAGGAAAAGCCCAGCACTCACTGGATAGCCCCCGGCGTGTCTCAGCATTGTCCAGGGAAGGAGATGGGGGCTGATGGGGGAGGGGGCCACAGCCAAGTTGTTGGGGAGGCCAAGGCATAGCTGATCCCACTGAGGCTTAGTTTGGTGCCTGCCCCCAAGCCCAATGTCCCCCATCCCACCCCCCAAACCTGCTCTTCCTCCTGTGGTCCTACCCCAGAGCAGATCCACCTCGTTAACCCAAAACCAAGGCTGGACCCCTGGGAGCCTCCCCAACGCCTCCCTCAGCTCCACATGCCATCAGGCCCTTCGTCCTGCTGCTCGAGCCTCCCAACACCTTCCAGCCTGCCCATTGTCCTCCTGGCCACCCTCGCCCCCAACAAAGCCCCCTTGATCCTCTCCTCCCTCCGCTGACCCTGCCCAGCCAGTCCCCACCAGCAACACCACTTCTTTCTACGGCTCTTCTGGTTTTAAATCCTCCATGGCTCCCCACTGCCCTGGGCATAAAGTCCTAGCCCCTTGGTCTGCCATTCAAGGTCATGTGGCCTCTGGCCTCGTCCCTGCTCATCCCCCTGTCCCTTCCATGGTCCCCTTCCTGCCATTCAGAACTGGCTGCCACCTTCCCAATTCCAGGTGCCCTCCACACCTTCGCACATGCAGTTCCCTCCCCCAGGCGCACTCTTCCCTAAGGCTTCCCAGGAACTAGGAGCCGTCTGGGAACTGCTCCAGGAACTCCTCCCCATGCCTCCCTCCCCCAGACCCCTGCTCATGCGCACACATCCCCAGCCACTCATCACCCTTTATTCCACTGTCGTACACTGTGAGCTCCTGGGGCAGGCACCTTATCAGACTCATCCCCACGTCCCTGGCCCCCATCTGTCCTGGTAAGCGATCCCTTGGCGCCCCCTGGTGGCCACATCAGGAAAATTCTTGGGATTCACTGAACACGAGGAGGTGATCATTAATTGAGCACCTACTGTGTGCCAGACAGTGTGTGCTAGGCGTTTGATATGAACCAGCTCATTGAATCCTTGTAACAAACCCTTGGGAGAGGTACTATTGCTCCTATTTCACAGAAGTGAAAACCGAGGCTCAGAGAAGCTAATGTTCCCCAATGCCACCGAGCTAATAATAGATGGTGCCAGGACTCACACCTATGTCTGCCTGACTCCAAAGCCATGTTCTTCCCCCTGTGGCGAAAGGGAACAAGGTGGGGGAAGAGGCTTCCTTCCACAGGGAGGAAGCCATAGCTGATGGTCACGAAACCTGTGGCTTGGCCTTGCTACCCCTGGACAAGCAGCTCTGATGGGGACAGGCTTGCCCGTCCACCTTGGCACCACGGGCATCCATGTGGGGTTAATCTGGGCAGAGCTCACACAAATCCAGGCCCGACTCTAGGTACAATAGCGATAAATAGAATTTATTTTATACAACTGTTACTGACATACACACGGCCACAGAGGCTTCCAAAATGGGTGTTGGGGCCGAAGGCTGGCCTTTGGCATGGCGCCTAAAAAGTGTGGACAGACATACACAAGGACATGGACTCACAGCAGCTGTGCCTGGCTGCCCCCTCCATGGAGGTGGTGAGGGGAGGCGAGGCCTACGATTCTAGGCCAGCTGAGACCCCTCGGTCTGGTGTGCCCAGGAGCATGGGATGGCAGGAATTAAGCGGGGTGCTGGCTGAGGAGCCAGGTGGGTCCTCCTTCCCCCATAAGGGGTCACCTGTCTGTCCTTTGTAGGCAGTGGACAGGGAATTGGCAGATCTGTGGTGGAGCTTGAGGGTCCAGAAGGAGCCATGGGCACAGCCAGCTGCCTGCCCCTCAGTCCACTGGGGCCCAGGGACCTCAAGATGTGGGATAGGGTGATGGGAGGTCCCTGGGAGGACAATCCCCCCATTATGGGGCAGGTGCATGGAATCACAGTCTTCAGTGACCTCTGAAATAATCTTGTCCACTTGTAGCAGAGGCACCCAGTGAGGGAGAGTGACTCACCCAGAGTCACAGAGCAGAACTCAACAGGAAGCCAGGACTCAGGACTCAGCCCAGTGCTCACCCCGCCACACCTCACGTCCTGCTGTAGGCTCTGTATGCACTGACAATCTCTCTCCCTCCTTGTTTTCCCTGCAGTCCAGAGGGGCACCCAGGGGTGATAGAAGCCCAGGGTGAGGACAAGCCAGGCCTGCTTGGCTGACCAATCCCTGCCCCAGCCCAGACCCCCAGCCTGGGGGATAGGGACGATGCCAGCAGCTTCCCCACTCCCAGGTCTGGATGGCTCTGCCCTGCAGAGACAGCCCAGATGGGTGGGCCAGGGGAAGGGTGGGGAGGCAGGTGTCAGCCTTAGGGGCAGAGGTCCCGTCGGCCCAGACTTGACACGGCATCTTCACCTGTGCTTCTGCGCCTTCATCTGCAGGGAACAGGGAAACGGAGACACCATGAGGCGGGGGGACAAGACTGGGAGGGGCCTGTCCTCGGAGTTCCAGACTGAGGTCTTTCCATTCCATTGGGAGCCCCCCAGACCTCTCCCTACCCAGTGACTGCCAAGTCCCTTTCAGGCCCCATCAAATCTTCCCAACCACTCGTGGGCAGAGATGATGCAGCATTTATTAGCCCCACTGCACAGATGAAGAAACTGAGGCTCAGAGAGGGGCCATAATCTGCCCAAGTCACCCAGCAACTGAGTGGCAGAGGATTCAAACCCAGATATGTAGCTCTCAGCCCAGAGAGATGACAGAGGAACAGGGAGGAGTCAGCCCAGCCCCCTGCCCACTCCCACCCTCTCCCCACCAGACAAGAGCTGAGGGGCTGACCTGCTCAGTGCCACCTTCAGAGGAGGTGGCCTGGCTAACAGCCCTGCAGACAGGCGGTGGTGGCGAGGCAGGTGGCAAGACAGGTGAGGAAGGGGACAGGAGACACAGATAAGCAGAAGTCACTGGCTGTGCCCAGGCTGGACAAGCCCAACCCTTCCTGGCCTAGAAGGACCTCTTGGTCCAGCCGCAACTCCTGGTTCCCTTGACACCTCTCTCCAGTAGAGCTAATCCCCCTCCCAGCTGGGACTTCCCCCAGGGCCAGGCCCCAGGCAGCTGCACCTACCAGCTGCGGCGTGTGCTGCTCAGATGCTTCCAGCTGGATCTTGATCTCGGGACACGCAGAGTCCCCCGACTTGCCGGCATCTGGGTGGGGTGACCGTGAGGGGCCTGGGGAGGGGGGCAGGAGGGAGCCACCTCACTGGCCGCGGGGAGGTACCAGGGAGACGGGGGCATGGATGGGCGGTTGGCACTGGTGCTCCCCAACCCTGCCGAGGCCCACCCTTAACTCCCTTCCTTGCCACCCTTCCCCCATTATCCTTCAAGATCCTTCCAGAAGCTACCAGCCCTCCAATCTGTTCCACCACCCTAGGCTGGACCATGACCCACCAACTATCTCCCCATCAGGGGCAGTCACATCCCATCCCTGCCACCTAGGGCATGAGAACTGGTCCCCTCCTGCCCGAGGGCAGCCTGCCTGGCGGGGAGCTGCCCTGGCCTGGTACCTGGGGAGCTGCCCCCACTTGTGGTGCTGACACTGTCCTCCAGCCACGTGCTGTAGATGAAGGAGTCCCGCTTGTGGGGTGTTCCTGAGGACGAGACACTCTCCTGGGGACGGGGAAGAGAGCGGGACGGGCTCAGCTCACATCCATGCGACTGGCTGCACGCCCCCCTCCCCTGGGAGGTGGAAGAGGCCCAGCAATGTCTGCCCCAGGGACGCCACAGGAGGGCAGTGGGGGGAGGCGCAGACGCAGGCACGGACCACCCACTCCCACTCATTCATTCAACAAACACTCTTCAATGTCCTCCTGGGCCAGTCAGGCATGGCCCTGCCCTCAGGGAGCTGGAGGCCTAGGAGGCGAGACTGTGAAGAGACCATGACCGTTCTCCACTCTGAGCCCCCCGGGCAGTGCCTTGGTCTGCACCGTTCCCTGCTGCCCCTGCAGCACCTGGAACAGGGCCTGGCAAGGAGCAGGGGCCCAGCAAAGGGTTGCTGAATGAAGAACGACCACGTGGTGTTAAAGGCAAGGCCCCGGGGCCTGTGAGAGCATAAAGCGGGGTGTTCCTAGCCTATCCTGGGACTAGAAAATCAAGGAAGGCTTTCAGGAGGGTGTGTGAGACTCAGTCAAGAAGGATGAGTAGGAGTCGGCCAGGCCAAGGGGGAAGGAGGCAGCAGGGCGAGTGCTCTAGACGGAAGAAGTGGCGCATGCCAAAGCTGGAGTGTTGTAAGCCTGGTATGTTTGGGCAACAGCAAGAGAGCATGGAGTGTCCGAAGTGAGATGAGACCGCGGAAGGAGGGAGTGACCAGGCCTTCAGTAGTCCTGGAGATTGGGCACTCTGTGGAGGGCACTGGGGAGCCATGGAAGGCTTCAGAGCAGGGGAGGGTTAGTCTGCATTGCTCCTTTGGGCTGGGTCACCTGACCACATCTCAGCTACCCCCAGGCTCATGCTTCTACCTAGAGCATCTCCAGAGACCAAAGAGCCTCCTTCCAGGCCACTGTGGAGCACTGTGAGCCCTGGGCTTCTCACCAGGCCTGTATCCTCCCCATCCATGCCCTCCGTCTCTTCCACCACGCTGGCGAAGCTGCTGGCACTGGACGAGGAGCGGGAGAAGTCCTTCAGCACTTCTGCTCTCTGGGCTGCTGTCTCCGCTCTGCCACAGACAGTGCCCCATTAGCCAGCGTCCACCCTGGGCACCTCCTAGGCCAAGTCCTCACGCCCTTGCCCTCCCCGCCCAGGGAGGCCCAGCCTGGACCAGCCAAGTGTCTTTGTCACTCCTGTTACAGTTCCTTGAGCCTCTGAGCCTCCCTGGACTCCCAATGCAGCCTCGTCCCTCCCCGCACTGGTCCTTCCTGATACACAGATCTGAGCAGGTCCCTCCCCTGCTCAAACCCTCTCATGGCTCCCCATTGCCCCCAGCTGAAGTCCAATTTCCGGTATTATCAATGATAATGTCATCATCCAGTGCTTGTTTACTCTGTGCCAGGCACTGCTCTAAGTGCTTTCGCCTAAGTTAGGTCATGGCTATCATTATCAGACCCATGTGACAATGATGAGGAGCCACGGAGCCACAGAGAGGGCAGGCACACGGCCCAAGGTCTCCCAACTGCAGGTGGGAGAACAGAGGCTTGGACCCAGGCGCCTCCACAGTCTACTCTCCCAATCCCCTCACAATTTTGCTTCATGCTCAGGGACTTTGTGTCTTCTGCCTGGAGTCTCGCTCCTTCTCTCAAAACCCAAAAAGCAAATTTGTCTCTCAAAAATCAGCCAAGGGCCCTTTGTTCCAGAAGGCCCTCCCTCATTCCTCTTCCCAAGGTGGGAACAACCCTCCGCTCTCTAGTCCTACATACCTTGTCTCTCCCTTCCCTGTCACCCTTTCCTGCCTCTCTGCTCACATGCTTGACCTTCACAGAGCCTGGCACAGAGGGGGCTCAGGCAGCGAGCACCAGATGCAGGAGCACCCCCCCCCCCCCCC